CAGGGATAAGGAAGGAAAGAAGGTAACACAAGACGAAAATAATAATAAAAAATGGGAATGAAGGGTGGGAGGAAAAAAAAAGAGGAGAATGCAAAAAGCAGGGAGTAAAATAAAAAGAAAAACAATGTCAAATACAGGAATTTTACAAATTAACCATTATACCATTAAAGGTTAAAAAAAGTAAAAAATGAGGTGTCAACATTTTAGTAGAGCAAAAAGAAGGTAACACAAGACGAAAATAATAATAAAAAATGGGAATGAAGGGTGGGAGGAAAAAAAAAGAGGAGAATGCAAAAAGCAGGGAGTAAAATAAAAAGAAAAACAATGTCAAATACAGGAATTTTACAAATTAACCATTATACCATTAAAGGTTAAAAAAAGTAAAAAATGAGGTGTCAACATTTTAGTAGAGCAACAGAAGAGACAGCTGTAGACTGCTAACCTTGGACAAACAGACTTAAATGGTTTTAGGACACTACAGACAATGTTGTTAGTGGAAAACGTGTCTAGCAAACTAATTTTTTTTGTTTTGTTTTTTTTTGGCAGTCATTAAACACTATGACCCTGCTATTTTAATGCACATCCATTGAGACAGAGTTCCAGGTCTGCCATTTCACTATAAACAGAAGTTTGTAAGCGATGTCCTCTGGAAATCAAAAGTAAGCTCTCTTTTTGGAAAAAAAAATAAAATTAGTAAACAACAGAGAAAGATACTTATACCTTCTTGCATACAGATTAACGGATCCTGAAATGAAATAAGATCAAGGCTTCGTGCACAATCTAACTACTAGAAGACCATAAATAAATGCAATAACTTCATACCCTAGAATTATTCATTCTTCATCTATTTGCTGTGATAAACAGTGCAATACGTATACAGAACAGCAAAATGGAAAGCTGATAAAACCCCATCAGTTCTCCACCACAACTGATAATGCAGCAAAGAGATGAAAAAGAGTCAGTGGTGACTAGTCCTAAGCCATTACTATCATGGGAAGCATCTAACACCAGATGGGTGCAGAAGGACTTGCCCTACAACTTGTGAAAACAAACAGCTCTGAAAGCATTGGCATCCCACATCCCTCTCATCAAACTTCTGAGTGCCAGCAGAGTTGAAGACTGTAGGAAGCTGCCACAGCAGCATCTTAAAACAGGTTTATTTTGGCTGCAAAGGAAGATGAAGCATTTAAAAAAATAGGACTAATCTGCTTATTACACTGATGCCCCAAAATAGTATTACTAATAATCCAGGTTGAACACTGCAGTGTAACTGCAAGAAAGGAGGAGAATTGCTGAAATCCAGCAATGATATATAATTCATTGCCTGTGACTATATGGCAGGTCCAGAAAGGACTTGGAGAGCACCAGAGTCTCATGTGGCTTTTAACTATGGAATGACTTGAGAAACAGCAGTTGAAGTCCCAGCAATGTCCTTCTGCTGCCAGCTGCAGCTGGGATACTCTGAAAGTGTTTCCAAAGAAGAAGAGTCTTAGCCAAGACCAGAGTGACTGACTCAATTTGTCTGTGAACATTTATTTTGTGAGACAGAGATCATCTGTAATGCTGGTAACAAGAGAAAAACAACACAACTTCTGGTGTATCTGATATTTACTCAGGACATGCTAGGTAGTGTTCAAGGAAGCAAAATGGAACAAACATATTTTCTCTCTGAAAACAGGTTTATCATAAGATACACCTCTTGGACTAAACAAATCTGCCCATGCATGGGCTGCTGCTGGTGAACCATCTCTGGTCCATGCAAACCTCTGCAACATGCCAGGCTTTTATCCTTGGTTAAACAAATCTGTCCATGCATAGGTTGCTGCTGGTGAACCATCTCTGGTCTATGCAAACCCCTGCAACATGCCAGGCTTTTATCCTTGGGGAAAATATTGCAGGACAAAACTGCTTGAAAGACTATCCCAACAAGTCAGCTGTAGGGATGACCCCGTGCCAGGACTCAGTCCATGCCTAATTTCCACTGAAGTCAAAGACCAAGCTGCGTGCTCCTGCCTACTCTCCTCCCCCAGAGCTAAAAAACAGGAACTAGGCAATAAGAAGTCCTAAGAATTTAAAAATAACTGTTGTTTTGGGGTTTGTTTTGCTATCTAAGGATGTGGCCTCAATGTTTACTCTTAGTCTACTTCTGCTCCAGTGATGCTCAGAAAAGGAATTTTTGGTGTACACTTGAGAATCTCACATACGCAAGCACAGCACCTGGAGCTGTGACTCACAGTAAAGGTGGGAAGATACAGAATCTGAGGGAGCTCACCCAGATCTATAGTACATTGCTAAGTGTGAGTCACACCTCTGACAAAGTGCATGGTCTCCTGCTGCACTCTTTGCAGACCTGCTCTTTATTGCTTTTAATATGGAAGATCCTCAAAAAGTGATCTATCACTGAATAAAACTGCAAAATTAACTTTAAGCCCTAAATTGACTAACCAAGATTCTTTTGCTAGATAGTGAGGGGAGGGCACATTTCAGGTAACTTCACCCATCAAAGAAGAAAGTATCCAGTGTAAGGTAGGAAGCATCTCCTGATGGTGATGATGTCCAAGATGGATACCTGAGATAAGCTGAATGAAACTGTCTTTTGAAGTATTTCTGTGTTTTTACTGACTATAGATGGATTTGGGATAACTCACTTAACCTTGCAGTCTCAGTTAGAGGAGAAATGAAGAGATGGATTTGGGGTAACTCACTTAACTTTGCAGTCTCAGTTAGAGGAGAAATGAAAGATGCAAGATGAATCCTGCTCTCCTGCTCTAGCTTGGACAGACTTGCTAGTACATTTTTAGGGTCAACTAAGGAAAGTGAACAACGCCTAGAAGTTTTCCCTCAACTGAAATTGAGTGGCAGATTGAATAAAATGAAAATATTTATTTCAAGTGTTTAAATGGAAATTAGTTAAAATCCTAGAGAACCATCTGTGCTGTTGCAAGAAACAGGCTACTTTTCATATCTATTTTTCTCTCTCTCTTGAGAATGCTAAGATGCTAGTTAATGAGAATTAAAATATGCTGGATGCAATCTTTTCATCTCATAAATCCCTGGACCATTATCTGTGACTATACAGCCATGAAAGGTCAGATATCAATGGTATTTAAGTGCCTGAAGATGGAGGGAATTATCTATTTTCAAAAGCACATCTCTAAAAATCTAGTCCAAAATGACTATATCAAAAGAAACACACTAAATTTGCTCTAAATTTGAGAGGAAATGAATACAAATGACAATGCATTAGTCTGTCAGTGATCTCAATCCGGAAATTAAGATAAATTTGGTAGACTAAGACTCTTTCGCACCAAAGGGATTATCACAATGAATTCCTTTGTAGAGTAATCTTTAATAAAATGCTAAATTCTGCTACGAAGTTTTTATGCACATACATAGAGACACTCACACATACATACACATACACATCCTCCTCCTCCTCTGTTTGGAAAGAGGAACATAAAAAGCTCTTTGGAAAAAACAGGATACCTTTCCCTTGAAGTACTTGAGTCTTGAATTGGAAATGAAGAAGGTATCAAAGATAACAGGATACCTTTCCCTTGAAACACTTGAGTCTTGCATTGGAAATGAAGAAGGTATCAAAGATAATATCAAAGTTATGTTAGAGGTAGATCATAGAGAAGAAAACTGGCTAGGCTTTGTACTTGTAAGGGTCAGTAGCTGAATATTAAAATATGATTAGTAGATGCATGTTTTAGAAAGACTGCAGAATAGGCTAGATCACAGTTCTCTCTGTGGAATATGATGTTCCAGGACCTACATGCTGATCTCATGGATGACACAACTTGGAAAAAAAAAGCCAAGGCAGATGCTATTGACTCAAACATCTTTAGAAGTACTTTTATGCAGTGTGAAGAATCCAGAAATCATAACCCATTTCTGGAACATATTGGAGACAATGCTAATTTCGGGAACATTGCTGATCAAGGATTAAAATTCATTCTGTTCTTCATCTGAGCAAACAAGCTATTCTGGAATATCACTAGCCATAAACTTCCAGACAGTTTGGAAAGAGCATTCAGTCTAATTCAGTATCCAGTCCTTGGCAGTGTCTAGTGCCAGATGCTTCAAAGGACGCAATTCTCTATCTTTATATTCTCCACCAAAATGACATGTTTTGTGGTGATGCTTGTAAGTAAAATCTTTAGTACTTTTTCAAATACCTTTAAAACTTGCCAAACTACCCTTGGCTCAAATGCTTCAAAAAACATTCCATTTGGGAGGGTAATGTTACTAAATACAGTCTGTCTTGAAATGGCATTTCTTCATTTCAGCCACACCACTCTGTAGACAGTGGTTGACTCTCAATTTGTCCTATGGACTGAAATGCCACATCTTAGTAGAACTCAATGAAGTCTGACACTAAGCTGTATGATCAGCCAGGCTGTTTAACATCTCACTCCAGGCTCTCATTCTGTGCTGTTCTTAAATTCATGGTCACTATCATTAATAATACTCCTTCAGAGATTTACTCACTTTTACAGTTTGGTTCAATAACTCTTTTTTTCAAGAATTTCTGTAAAGAACCATATAGGAAGCAAACTTTGGCTAAGGAGCTAACACAATCAAAAGGCATAGTCAAGCCAAAATTCTGCCTAACTCCATGCTGATTAGGACTTCCAGTTTCTGAGTGTAGTCAGCTTTCCTGCATGTTTGTAGTGGATTGACCCAGTCAGCAGCTCAGTACCCACCCAGCTCCCAGTGGGCCAAAGAGGCATAGGAAGAGAAAAAGTGAGAAACCCCATAAGTAAAGATGAAGATAGTATAATGAGTGAAGGAAAGACAAAAATCCAAGTGGTCCAAAAGCACCTCCCATGAGCAGAACAATGCCCAGCCAGTCTCTGAGCAATGGCTACTTTGGAAGACCAACCCCCTTTTACTTTAATGCTAAGCATGACATTATGTGGCACGAGATATCACAGGTCAGCAAGGGACAGCTTTCCTGGCTGTGTCCCCTCTCACCTTCTTTCTCCCCCAGCCTACTTGCTGACGGGACAGCTTTCCTGGCTCTGTGCCCTCTCAACTTCTTTCTCCCCCAGCCTACTTGCTGAGGGCAGAGTGAGAAATGGGGAAAGCCTTGATGCTGTGCAGCACTGTTCAGCAATAGCTAAGCCACTGGTGTGTTATCAACACTGTTTCAGTCACAAATCCAAGATACAGCTCCATATGGGCTGCTATGAAAAACATTAACTCCATCCCAGACAGACTGAGTGCAATATTACTTCCAATGAGCCATACTTTAGCAATGAACCTGGCTTACTGCTGCTTAGGGCCATTCCCTTGGTTTATTATTTGTCCTGAACTAATGGCTTATAAATGAAAACAGCCACCAGGAGTAGTTCAGAGTTTGCTGCAAGCCTGAAATGGAGATCTGCATTAGTGGAAAGCAACCTTCTGCAGCTAATTTGTCCTTGCAATCCGCAGCATTCTTCATGTCCAGTCCCTCCATGGACCAGGAGCCAGACACGTTGCGCTGTCTTTCAGAAGTGGCTCCACCACAGCAGCAGGGGAGAGCTGACAGGCCACATCCTGATATGCTGGCCACGAAGGTGTGTCATCACTTGCCTCCTTCCCCTCCTCTCTAAAACCTTTGTATACCTGGAGACTATTTCTGGTGGCAATTACAGAATGGCAAACTAAACAACTCTACCTCCAGGCCACAGAACGACTTTTAACCCTGCTCAGCTTTGCCCTGTCATATGCTTGAAAATAATTGAAGACACACTGGGCTGTAGGGATACTCTGCTGCAGCCAGAGAGAAGGTGAGGGGTGCTGAAGGTGTGGCACACCTCCTGTGTGTGTCTCCTGGTAACAGCCTGAACTGCATGGTCCCTTTTAGCCAAGATTCTTTAGTGACACTGAACACAGCAAGAGGCTCAGGCAGTCCCAGCACGCAGACATACTGGTCTGTGCTGAATCCATACCCTGTAGTTGTCAGATTTTTTTTTTAATCAAAGGACAAATATTTATATTTACAATCTGGGAAAGAACAGCAGATGTCTTATTTGCAGTGTCGCTCAAAAGATCTGTTCTGACTTCCAGGCTGAAGCAATTATGCATGTTACACACATGAGAAATCCTTAATGAAAATGAGAGGTAACTGCCAGATTAGAAACGTGGGATGTACCATACAGAGTACAGGCAAGATCTGCTGGGGAGACCATGACTTGAAGAGGTTAGAGACATGGCAGGTGACCAAATGGATATGGAACTTTCCAGCCAAAGCAGCTACCAATGCAGAAGATAGTTATTATTACAGGAATAATATGTGCAACTCTGAAACAAGATTTGGAAGGACAGAAAGAGATCAGGAGGCATAAAAATGAGACACAGATAAGGAAAGTATGTCTTAAGATTCTTTATCTATTTGTCAAAGACTAAGATGTGATTAGATGCATGACAGAAATGAGACTCTTACTCCAGATTCAAAAAATGCAATAAAATTAAATATGGCTGAATCTAATGGCAGATAAATTGAAACTAGAAATAAGGCAAAATTAATTAAAAATTCAACACTTTCAAAAAAAGGCAAGTTAACTTTCATTATCCAAAGTCCTGAAAGATAAAATAATATACTCTAGATCAGCCTAAAACTATTTGCTTGGCGTAGTTATCACTGGGTGAAAAACTAGAGGGTATTCAGAAATTCATACCAGATAGCTACAGTGCTCCATCAGTCCTTAATATCATGACTCAATAAAGATTCCTGGAGAATGCAAGTTAAATCTGACATTATCCCAGGGAACTTTCTTCTGATCAGTGAATAAAAACAAAAGGAAGAGAGGTAGCAAAATAGTTTTCCTTTGTAAGCAATAAACTGTTTACAGAAAATATCCATCTAGTTGGAAGTATTTTATAAACAGAAGGAATCCATTCTGTAACACACTAAAGTACACACTTGGAAACCAGAGTTTACATGACATGTCTCCATACTGTTCTAGGAGTACAGAGTATGCATTGTGTCACTATAAGGTGCTTTTCAGAATTACTCTGTTCATGGGCAGAATAAATGCTATGATTGCAACGTGAGAGGGATGAATAGTTGACAAAGTAACAGAAATTAACTGCCTGTGTATGCAAGAACATTAAGTACCACGTGCATCTTCTTAACATGTCTACAACCAAGCAGACAAAGGAAACACAATGGATGCTTCTTACTGAAAACCATTTTCTTAAAACAACTTTGAGCTTAAGGGGTGAAAAACCTTACCTGCAAACATATTGCCAGGTTAACTCTACAGCCAAGTGATGTGCTGACAGCCCGTGGATGGAGACCAAGGTCTTTGAACAACTTTGAAAATGACTGAGTAAGAGCTATCCGTGGTCGTTCTTCAGCCACTACTACACATGTCCGTACACGAGAAAGGTCCAGTCCCCTTGCCTAAAAAGAAATTAAAATGTAACCAAGGCCACAAACAGGCAGATTTAATGCAAAACAGTAGTACTTATGCAGGTATTGTGATTCATGAGGAATAACAGAATAGAGGCTAAGGTACCAGCAGAATCTCCCTCTTTCCCGGAGGCCGGATGGCCAGACGACAATCTAATAGCTGTAGAAGAGCACACATACTTGCTTGTCATCTCAACATTAGCACATAGGAAATGATGGGCATGATAATTCTAAAGGGAGGGAATGCTATTTCCCAAAATTAATTCAGATGACAGTGAATAGCAGCAAACAGGAAGCAACATCTAGCTTTGAAAAAACTGATTAGGAAATTATTAAGCGAGGATGGTAAAGGCTGGAGACATCATAACTATCAGTATCTCAAGATCTAATTTATTTCAGTAGCACACTGGAAATTCCAGATGATTTCAGAAATTTGACTGGCTACCAGGCTTTTAATGCTGGGGAAGAAAAGGAAGATATGCCCTCCTCTCCATACAGTGAGGACAGTCTAATTAAAATAACACAATAATGTTAAGCATGTGGCTATTTAACTACAAGGGTCAAACCCAAAGTAGTACTTCATACAATCAGGGCTTTCATAAAACATGCTATACAGTACAATAGTCCTTGGGCCTCTTGGATGTTTACACCTCAGTTTTCCAACACTTGCCTATTAACACAGGTTGCAACACAGATCAGAAAGCTTAGGTAAATAACAGCCTTTCCTTGATGTTTAATAGCCTGATGATCTGAAAAAGAATGACTGATATCCACATGTAGCCTTTGGTAAGGAATAACGTGGGTTCTGTGGAGCTGCCTGTGCCCTCTGATTATTTTCTTCTCACAGCAGGTATTTAGCAGAGCTGTTCATGGCAGAGGCTCCCAGACACCACCATGCAGGTGACAGGGTGTCCAGGACAGCAGAATTACTCACCTTCAGCGACTCTGTTTGTGAACCAAGTCCCTTAGTACAAAGCTCCATGACTGAATAGGAACAAAAAGTGTCTCTCACTTTGTACTGACTCACGGCAAGAAGCCACAGAGCAGGATTGGTCTCCAGTTCTGAGGGAGGAATCAAAATAGACTGGTGTCCTGAATAAACGCTGGAAGACACAAGATTCATGAACACACACTAAACATCTGTGTCTGCAGAGGTTTACAAGCCATGGGGTACTAGAGTATACAGCTTACACAGCACTCGATGAACCTTGTAAAGCCTCACAGTGACCCACAGCTCCAACAGTTTAATTACTTTTGCTATACCTTCAGAGTCTATCACCAATCACCAGGAGTGTAGGCAGAACCTGCTCCAAAACTACTAATTTATTCAAAATTCCAGTGGACTTTGTTGTTTGAACTGCACTGAAGAGAGCAAAATAGCTCAGTTGTTAATGGTGCTAATAAGCAGTATTATAATATCAACAAAAATTATGTGTTGCTGACAAATAATTTAGATTGAGTAATTATCATTTTAAGACACCTTGATTAAAAGAGTACTTGATTGCTTAATATGGAAATAACCTGTCTCCTGTTAAAGTAAGCAAGAGGTTTCCAACAATTTTCAAGGGAGTAAATCTGGATCCATTATAACAATCCTTGTGGCTTTAAATTTCTTCCGTGAAAGTTTTATTAACTTATGAAACACAAATATACTAGCTGTTTTGTTTACTGGGTACCCAGTGAGCATATATATTGAGAAAAGACACTTATCAGGGTCCCTGAAGGAAACAATGATGTCAGAGCTAATTTCTCTGGTACCTAAGATTCTCCCCAAGGGAAAAAAATATTCCCAATTTGATGTCTTTATTTCCCATGTGTCCTGTGCTGTTCATTCATCTCACACAGGCAGACTTACCATCAATTTTACAGTCCCCTCACATCTCAATTTGTGATCTGTAGATATTTCAAATCAGAACGGTGACAGTGTAAAACCCCCAAATCATAGAAGTTCTGAGAAAGGACCATAAAAGACACTGAGATTTATGATGCACAAGAGAATTTCACTTGTGACTTGAAAACTTGAAATGCCAGTTTGGTAAAGTAAACTTGATGTTTTCAAATCCAAGTGCCCAGGATAAGACATGAAATGGAACTTTGCTTTCAGGCATATGAGCATCTCTGTAACACTGGACATCAGGAAGAAGACAGACACCTTTGCAATTCTTGCAGATGGGCTGCTCACACAGCTTCCCTCCTTGGTGAGTGAGTGACCCCACTCCCTACAACCCCAGATGACAGTGCTTCCAAAAGCTGTGTCACGTAGGACAAGGTTTGTGTGATCTGGATGTCTTTATTACTTGGTGCAATAAAGGCACAAAAGGTGTACAAGTACAGCTACAATGGCATTTAATAATCCAAATTGTTTAGGTCTCTGCTGGAGTATGAGCCAGAGGATGTCATGGAATATGTATGAACTACAGTTCAAACAATTTCATTTATCACAGAGGAGAAATTTTATCTTTGACTGCTTGTCCACATTTATGCCACTCTTGATGATTCAGGAGCAGTGACGTGCCGTGGAGCGATGTGTTCCAGGATAGAGCTGACATAATGACTACAGCACAGGGTGGTCAAATGCAGCATTATGCTTTTATGGAATCAGAATAAAGTATGACTGAACCTTGTGCATGTGCTGCATAAACATGTGAAAAGAGATCTTGGCAACGCTACCCAAGCCTGAAAGGGGTATGCCCCGAGTTCAAGCGACAGATCAAACCAGCTAGGGAGGAGTAACAGTTTTTACTATAAATATTACTTCACTCTTTCTTTCTTAGCCAATTCTATTAAGTTTTTCAAAGAAGACCGCAAAGTCTTACTTCTTTGCAAATTTAAAGTTAGGGCCTGGCAATCGAGGTGTGTGATCTGTCTGGTAAATACATAATTCTTGCAAACAGGAAGCTGTAACCATTCAAGTAAGAACCAGGAATGGGCTCCAATCTGTACAAATATGGTATACAGAGATTCAGCATCAAACTCTTCCCCCTGTCCCCAAACTCCTTTAGTTGATGCAACTAGTATCAGGTAAAAAAAATTATCTGCACAACAATAAACAATTTGCCAAGAGGGAAGAACTCTTACTCACAGCCATATTAAGATCCCTTAAGTAGCACTTATTCAACTGGGCAGAAAATACCAAAATCAAAACAAAATCTGTCACAAAAGTAACTCTAGCTCCTGATGCAAGTCTTACACAGGAGCAGACAGTGAAGAACTGCAGAGACTACCTGACAGACCTGGACATCTGTTTCTCAGTGCCCACCATTTTTAGAAACTGCAAAAGGAGTAGGCAAAAAAGAAGACAAAAAAGGAGAGCAACTCCAGAACATCCCTGCATCATCTTGTCACAATGACTTTTGGGATGCAGAGGCAGAGTGAAGTGCAGGGGTGACTGAGGCAGGACATAACCTTTTGGTAATGCTGTCTTCCATTTGGGGACTGCAGAGAAATCTGGGGGGAAAAGAGTATTCAAGTGTGGACAAAGCCTTGGATTTTGGCAGTAATTGAAGAATCTTGTCTGCCTGCACTAAGCAAGGGCTGCCCAAGGACAGGAATGCTCCAGGTAAATGCACCAGGACGTATTTTGGTATGATGGCACCATCTGATCACAACACTGGCTCCACTGCCTGGCAGGCTGTTTTGGCAGCATACAGAGATGCCTGGAAGGACATCTTGGCACTTAACTGTTCCACTGATTTGGAGATTTACCCCATATTGCTCTGAGGCAGATTAACAGTAAAGTCTGAGGGTTTATTACAGTTCCAGAAATTTCTGTAGGCCAATACATGCTGACAAATGGTCACTGCAATTTGCAATTGCATTCTGGCAGGCTCCTGGCCCACTACTGCCCTTACTTCTGTGTCCTTCTCAGGTGACATGAGCTGCTTTCCCACTGAACTGGAGGAGGCAGGTAGGTACTTCTGAATCTTGTAAGTATATGCATTTAGTTTCTGCATTTTTACAGGTGATACTTGGAATTTAGCCATGAGGGACAGGTATGGGAACTGGGCATTTGGTAGATCCCAAAATAGTTGAGTTGTCAGGCCTGTAATTCAAAGTCTGTGAAGAGTCTGCATGCTGAATTACCCTGAAAGAGACTGAGCAAAGGTTTTCACACTTGGACCAGAGTTTGAAGGAAGGACAGTATGGGCCATAGAGGACAACGTTTGGGCGTGTATCGCACTTAGGCTTCATAGGACTTGGGCCTAAACTAAGTCTTCAGTTCTGGAGACCAATATGCACAAAAAAGGAGCATTTGGGGAACACCACCTGCAGAGTCCAAAGAGGCCCAGGTGGCACACAGTGCACTAACAGCATGGCTGCACAGGGCAGGCAGACAAGCTCTCAGTGCTGAATGGACAGAGGTAGCTCCCAAGAAATGTAACTAATGTACAGCAAAAGGCCATTGCCCAGCCTTGAGCACCATTCAGGTGGTGCCTTGTCACCATCTCTCCTCACCCAGTTACTCCCCTGTGTAGGGGCAGGTTGACAGAGCCAGCAGTTAGTCTGTCAGCCCATCTCAGAGCTCACATATCAAGGTGACTCAGGGCTTTCAGCTGCCCTCGAACCTTCCAGACTTGAGGCAGGTTCAACAGTCCCATTGTAATGTGGAAGAAATGCAAATTGCCTCTTCCACAAACTGCCACTGGCTAAGGACTCCACAGGACACTGGCACACAGCAATGTGTGGGCAGACACACCTTCTCATTCCTCCTGTGCCTGCCATGCACTTTGCAAAACACGTACGAGATGTTTATGTTCACATCTTTCACTCCCCATGTCAGAATTATCCTGTTCTGATGTGGCATTCAGGCTTCTATATGCAGCCTTGCCTTTAATTTGCTATACATGTGCTGGAATTTGGGTGAAATGCTCATGTCTGCCAGGCACCTTCAAGTTAAAACCTAACAATAATTAGTGAGTCCTAGCACACTAGAAGTTTTCTAAAATACAGTTTTCAATTTAATGCTGCAATTCCTTTCTTACTTCTTACACAGTTCCACCTGTTTGGTTCCTAAGAAACCTTGCAGTTTCTTGCTGCAGAAGCTACCCAAGAGCACTACCAGGGATTTTGGCTCCATGATATGGAACAGAGACAGCAGCAGCAGGATAGGAGAAATCTGCTTCACTGCATCTTACCTGGAAA